TAAGTTAGCCAATTGGCTTGGCGCATTATTACGACCTTGAGCGTATCCTCGCTCTTTTCCGAGGCATGGTTGTATTTGTTTGTAGCAAATGTAACGAAACTCTCAGGAAGAAGGACGTCGAGAGGCATTTCCACATGTGCCACAGTCCTAGCGTTTCGTGCGTCGACTGTTTAAAAAATTTTACGTAAGTATGCCCCCATTTTACACACCTTAAAGGATACAGGATTTCGTCTTGCATTCATCTTGCATTTCGGAGAGGGCGAAATATGATAAGAGTAATCTCTACGAATCCGATTGTAGGGGTGCCCAAAAACAGACGGATTGGACCACTTCTGTCCATTCGCGTCTGGTTAATTATCAAGCTCCGCCTGGTGTTCCCACTTTGATGAAGAAAATGATTTTGACAAGTGCAAACGTTCCTAGGAAAAAGGCGAAGTTCGAGGTTTCCGTTATTCTATTCTAACGGCTTAGAATTTTCTAAAAAGCGCATTTAAGTTTGCACGCCCGACGGATATTGACGCACTCTGGCAGCAAATGACAGCACAAGGTGACAAGGCTGATAGTGCTGGGTCCATTGAGAAAGTAAACCATAACGGAACGGATCAGGCAACATTGGGTGAACATTTGGTCCAAAACAGTGAGGAGAATCATTCGAAGTTGCAGTTGTCAAGCCATGTTGTTGAGATGTCTGGCGACGGTGAGACTAACGACAAAGGTAAGAAGTAGTAGTTTGTTCAGTGTTAAGTCGAAAAGATCCACAAAAAATTCGGAAAGATTATGCTATTCCATCTTAAGCAGCATCAAAGGGAAATGAGGATTAAAAAACTACGTCGAATGGTAAGCTCCATAAGTAGGCTTTTATTTTTACTCTACGCGGTGAAGTTCGTTACTGTTTTCTTTGTTCCGATTACAGACCTTTGAATCATTCAAGCAGTCAAAACATTTTGTCAAGGAGATGCATTCTGATGGTTTTTTGGAATGCGAGTTTCAACGAGCATTGAAAAAGCGGCGCCACTTTGTCATTTCTGAAGATCAAAAGAAAGTTTCTATTTCAGATACTAAAACTTGATCTGACACCTTCCTTGCACGCAAGCGCCTTTGTATTGGTAATTTCCCTTTTGAATAATATTTTTCCTATTCGGCGGTTTACTGCTTCTGTCGTGGGTCATGAATGTATTTTTTTTGAGTAGATTTCTCTTTCTGTTGAAAACTAGCCGGCGACTCTATTACCACTTAACAGTAAGACGGTGACCTCAACTGTTGAAAAAGTGTAGAAGAATGCAACATCTTTATTTACTTGTAGCTATACTAAGTCCTATGCAACACTTTTGCGACTTACGTGGCGGAGTTGATGGAGCATTTGTATCAATTTTTTGTTAAACTTTATACTTCTGATTGAGAAAATGTCACTGTTGAAGGCATTGGGATGCCGCCTAGTATTGAGCCTGTGTTGACTGCGTTCCATCTGCACTTAACAATAAATATTACCTCCAATTTATGAAATTGGTTGATGCGTGACGAACTTTAATTGTACTGGGTGACAAACGTTCACCGGGCTTTAATCGTGTGGTGGTGTGGCGTTTGAGGACTCTTGTAGGTAATGGACGGCGTGAGAGCTCAAAGCAGGAGTAATAGCCCCGCTCGAGTGCGCACCACCGATATTGGCAATCATATAAACAAAGTACCAGGGAATGAATCGTGGGTTTTTGCCACTTCACTGGAGGATAAAGAACAAAGTCGGGCTTAAGGTCCACACTCTCTTCTGTAAAAGCTGAACGATAAGTACGCCTCTTTTTAAACTTCCTGCTCATCCAG